ATACCCAAATGTCTCTTGTAACTAAGCGAATTACTTATCTATTTTTCAAAAACAAAATACAAATGGTATCCCAAATAACCCGACACTAGTGATTTTTATAAACTCCACGACTTGTAAATTCTTGAAATTTTTTTCTTAAAAAAATTCACGCCTTGCTTAGCTCTTGAAAAAATATTCTTTAAAAAATTCACGCATTAATAACGTAGCAATAAACCTTCTTTAACTAAGTACCAGTAAACCTTGAATAAAATTTATTATATTCGTCGGTGTTGCCGACAGATATATTTTTATACCCTCCGCCTATGACATACATCGTATACACTTATCCTGACATTTGCTTGCTACTTTAAAAAAAATTGTGAATGTATACGGAATCTCTGTCTCGAAGTGGAGCAATGTTATTTGTATTGAATTTTTAGTTTTTCAAAATATGGGTATTGAAGTTTTTTTTTATTAAGAAACATCATACGCACCCCGGGTAGCAGTTTGGTCATGATCGATAATAGGGGTGGCTGTTAAGTTGTGATACCATTTTTTTTATTAAAAAGAAAAGAATTTTTTTTAGTTTTCAACCCACTGTGCAAGCTAATATGAGTTGATGTTTACCTATGTCTATTGCGTGTCCATCCTTTTGTTTAGGAAACATTTAAATGTTACGCTGTTTAGTCAATAAGTTTACTGTTGCCTTAGGTAATATTCATGTTGCTGATGTTTAACCTTCCGCAAGCCCGCACGATATAATTTTTGACAAATTTAATTTTACCTACGGGCAACCTTCTTTTTTATTCAGTCTATTACAACACAATTATCATAATTGCATGGAGGAGTTGAAGACATGACATATATTAATAAAATACTAACCTGCAAGGACATGTAATTATGTTGGAATCCTTTCTGTTAGAGTTGATTTCCATGTCCATGTTTTTTTCTTGTCGAATAGGTTGTATCCTCTTTCTCATGTCTAAAAATAAATAAAAAAATAATATCTGCATAATATTAAACTATAAATATGCACGATAGAGTTAAAAGAAAAACATGACATTATGACTGATTGCGGAAACTAATTCCTTAAAGAGGATAGGAAAGTTGCTCCACAACTTTATTTCTTAACTCAACTCCTTTGTTTGCCAAAAAAAAAATTAACAAAAAATAAGAAAAACGAAAGTTTTTCCTTCCGCTATTCCGCCATGGTTACATTTCCTGGCTTTCGTTGTTCTTTTTGCCGGTTAAGGTTCCTCCATCGTCTTCAGTTTTAAGAGTTCAAGTGCCGCGATAAATACCATGGGTAAATAATTCGATTCGACAACAATTTTATTTATTGATTAAATAATTTTGTGTTTAGCTATTTATTAAAAATTATAATCAATTTGTTATTGTTTTTTATGTGACATGAACAAAATTAAAGTCGGGACTATTTATAGAATTTTTTATAAAGAATTTTTACAATGATCTACAGCAGGCGTGGATTTTTTAAAGAATTTTTTACAAGCACCACCCAACAGAAGCGTGGACTTTTTTAAAGAATTTTTTTCAAGGACCTATAGAAGGCGTGGATTTTTTAAAGAATTTTTTACAAGGACCACCCAAAAGAAGCGTGGACTTTTTTAAAGAATTTTTTTCAAGGACCTATAGAAGGCGTGGATTTTTTTAAGATTTTTTTACAAGGACCTACAGAAGACGTGGATTTTTAAAGAATTTTTAAAAGGACCACCCAACAGAAGGCGTGGATTTTTTAGATTTTTTACAAGGACCTACAGAAGGTGTGAATTTTTTAAAGAAATGTTTACAAGGACCTACAGAAGGCGTGCATGAAGAATTTTTTCAAGGATCGTTCAACAGAGGCGTGGATTTTTTAAAGAATTTTTTACAATGCCGAATACCTCAGATCCTTGGATAGCTAAAAGGAATTTTTCGACGGCTGCAGCACTGATGATGTCTTATCAGTGCTACAGCCAGATACCTGATTGACTAATACTCGATGTAAGACCAAACATCCGAGCAGAGGAGACGCTACGTGTAAATGAGTTTGATGAGCTGAGACCTGACAGTCCAAGAGTGAAAAAAAATCACCATTGAAATCAAGATATTAATATGCAAAAATAATCCGATTAGATTAAGCTAGACCACCTGAAGTTTGGCGACATTGGAGTCAGAACAAATAAATTGGGGGCTACGGTCACTCCCTAATCATCGAAGGAAGTGTGATAGAACGACTGTTACATTTAGCGACGTAACTATGACAGATTAGATGTGGTGCGCCAATTTTTTTCACAGACAGCTCTTAGAGTACACCGAGAGCGACAAGGCGAAAAAGAGTGTCTTCGTCGTATAAGATACCTAAGAGCCGAGTAGGTACCACCCCAATTTAACTTACGATACGTTGCATATTTTCTACTTCCCTGGTAAACAACTCATCTGACCTCCAAAGCAAGGGATCTTCATAGACGACCAGGAGAATCTAAGAAATCGACGACATGTTCCACCGAAGGAGCTCAAAAAATACTTTTAAAAAATCGATGCCTTGTATCAGGGAAGGGTTTCACAAAAATATGCAAATAAAATCCACGGTTTGTAGTTCGGCAGTGTATTAAAATATGTTCCTAAAAATGTACGGTTTGTACCCGTCCTTTTTGCTTTGTGAAATAGAGAAAAATGAAAAAATCCACACCTTGGTGATACCTTGAAAAAAATCTGTTTTTTATACCCCGAAAAATATTTGTTTAAAAGAGACTTTGGTGCATCAATTACCTAAAATCGGGCGAAACTATATATGGGAGCTATTTCTAAACCTGAACGGATTTTCACGAAACTTTGCCCACATTATTATAGCCGCAATTCAGTACGCTATGCCAAATTTCGTGCAAATCGAAAGATATATAGGGACTTTGGTACACCATTTACCTTAAATCGGACGAAAATATCTTTGGGAGCTATATCTAAATCTGAACCGATTTTCACAAAACTTTGCACACATCATTCTAGACTAAATTCAGAACGATATGACAAATTTCGTACAAATCGAATGTTTCTCAGAGACTTTGGTCCACAAATTACCTAAAATCGGATAAAAATATATATGGGAGCTATATCTAAATCTGAACCGACTTTCACGAAACTTTGCACACATCATTCTCGACTTAATTCAGTACGATGTGACAAATTTCGTGCAAATCGGATGATTTTCAGACACTTTGGTGCACCATTTACCTAAAAACGGGTAAAACTATATATGGGAGCTATATCTAAATCTGAACCGATTTTTAAATCGGACGAAGATGTGTATGGGAGCTAGATCTAAATCTGAACCGATTTTCACAAAACTCAGCACACGCCATTTTAGACTTAATTCAATACGCTATAACAAATTTCCTGCAAATCGAATGATTTTCATATACTTTGGTGCACCAATTACCTTAAATCGGACTAAAATATATATGGGAGCTATACCTAAATCTGAACCGATTTTCACAAAACTTAGCACACGCCATTCTAGACTTAATTCAGTACGATATGACAAATTTCGTGCAAATCGAAAGAAATATAGGGACTTTGGTACACCATTTACCTTAAATCAGACGAAGATATATATGGGAGCTATATGTAAATCTTAACCGATTTTCACGAAACTTAACACACGATTTCAAGAAACGTTAGTGGACTATTTACCTAAAATCGGGCGAAACTATATATGGGAGCTATATCTAAATCTGAACCGATTTTCACGGAATTTTGCACACATCATTTTAGACTTAATTCAGTGCGATATGCCAAAATTCGTGCAAATCAAAAGATTTCAAGGGACTTTAGTGAACTAATTACCTAAAATCGGGCGAAACTATATATGGGAGCTATATCTAAATCTGAACCGATTTTCATGAAACTTTGCACACATCATTCTAAACTTAATTCAGTAAGCTATGCCAAAATTCGTGCAAATCGAAATTTCATACAATTTGGATCAAAAATACGACCTGTACTTTGTTTACAATTTAACATGGACAGACGGACATGCATAAATCGACTCAGAAAGTGATTCTATGCATATTCTCAAAAGGGACCATGAGTCTATCTCGATTATTTTTGCTTGTTACAAACATATGCACAAAGACATAATACCCTGTACCACCGTGTGGTGAAGGGTATACAAATTCCACGCCTTTTTGATACTTTGGCGCTTTTACATGCTTTAGTCGGATAGAAGTAAAAGCGCATATATGTACCATGAGGCGTATGGGTAATGTCATTGCTGCACATACGCCCTATGGTTCCTTACATTTGGTGGGCCCAAGTTATAGATCACGACTATTAAATGTTTTCTATGGGATTATTTATAGAAATTATTAAAAAAAAATTAGTAAAATTATTAAAATATTTGTCTCTTCACTACCTTCAAACCTCAGTGGTGTGCTTCACATGCGAAGCGACAATGAGTTTTCAAAAAACAAAATTTTGAATGCACGCACCCTCTAAAGTATATGTTTCCTGTTGCTATAGAGGCATTTCAGTATAACCTCAAATCAACAAAGTTTCGAGACACAACACAATTCGCAAGCAGTCAGACAGACCGACCGAACATTGCATGACATGCACATTGTTTGTGATTACTTTTTCATTCGCTTCAATATCGGTTTCACGTGGCTTTTATTGTTGTTGTTATTGTTTTATTTTATTTTTTTCCAATACAATTTCCATTTCTGTGTTAATTCCCTGATTTTGATTTACTTGTTATTCCGCCTAACATATGTGATCCCAATTCTCGTTCACCATTAGCAACCAAGAGTAGAGCGGGTGTCAACAAAAGTCCCACACCCCAAGGTGTCAATAACAACACCAACGCCGCCACCACCGTCAATGAAGGTGTTGCCCCCGATGATGACACCCTGAAGAAAAATGCAAATACTTCGGCGATTCTGAAATCAGTTTCAGCATTTTTGGCAAGCGGTAAACGTCATTCGGAAAATTCGAAGCAATCGGCAGATATTAGCAGACAACAGCAACGGGTGAGACGCAATAAAATGGACGAGTCGAGTGGAAAATTGAATCCGAAAATGTTGGAACAGTTAAGGAAGAAGACGCGATTTTCAAAGTGAGTATTTGGGGAGGGTATTAAAACGGAGACACTGAAGATGGGGAACGAGGGAGATGAAGAAGAGAAATATTCTTTAAAAATCCACGCCTTGTAGTTGGGAAGGGTTCTCACAAAAATATTCTTTAAAAATCCACGCCTTGTAGTTGGGAAGGGTTCTCACAAAAATATTCTTTAAAAATCCACGCCTTGTAGTTGGGAAGGGTTCTCACAAAAATATTCTTTAAAAATCCACGCCTTGTAGTTGGGAAGGGTTCTCACAAAAATATTCTTTAAAAATCCACGCCTTGTAGTTGGGAAGGGTTCTCACAAAAATATTCTTAAAAAATCCACGCCTTGTAGTTGGGAAGGGTTCTCACAAAAATATTCTTAAAAAATCCACGCCTTGTAGTTGGGAAGGGTTCTCACAAAAATATTCTTAAAAAATCCACGCCTTGTTGTTGGGAAGGGTTCTCACAAAAATATTCTTTAAAAATCCACGCCTTGTAGTTGGGAAGGGTTCTCACAAAAATATTCTTTAAAAATCCACGCCTTGTAGTTGGGAAGGGTTCTCACAAAAATATTCTTTAAAAATCCACGCCTTGTAGTTGGGAAGGGTTCTCACAAAAATATTCTTTAAAAAAAAATCTCATATTCTTTAAAAATCCACGCCTTGTAGTTGGGAAGGGTTCTCACAAAAATATTCTTTAAAAATCCACGCCTTGTAGTTGGGAAGGGTTCTCACAAAAATATTCTTAAAAAATCCACGCCTTGTAGTTGGGAAGGGTTCTCACAAAAATATTCTTAAAAAATCCACGCCTTGTAGTTGGGAAGGGTTCTCACAAAAATATTCTTTAAAAATCCACGCCTTGTAGTTGGGAAGGGTTCTCACAAAAATATTCTTTAAAAATCCACGCCTTGTATTTGGGAAGGGTTCTCACAAAAATATTCTTTAAAAATCCACGCCTTGTATTTGGGAAGGGTTCTCACAAAAATATTCTTTAAAAATCCACGGCTTGTATTTGGGAAGGGTTCTCACAAAAATATTCTTTAAAAATCCACGCCTTGTATTTGGGAAGGGTTCTCACAAAAATATTCTTTAAAAATCCACGCCTTGTAGTTGGGAAGGGTTCTCACAAAAATATTCTTTAAAAATCCACGCCTTGTAGTTGAGAAGGGTTCTCTCAAAAATATTCTTTAAAAATCCACGCCTTGTGAATCGGAATGGTATCACAAAAATGTTTCTTAAAAATCCACACTTTGAAGTTCGGAAGGGTCTCACAAAAATTTTCCTTAAAATCACAAAAATATTGTAAATCGAAGAATTCAGGTCATTTATAGAAGAAACCCTGGCTTCAGCTCGTCTATAGAAAAATCACTGACTTCAGGTCATCTACTGCAGACAATGGGGCATCAGAACGATTATAGATGGCTCATTGACTTCAGACTGTCTATAGAAGACAGCCTGACTGTAGTTCGTCTATTGAAGTCTCCCTGACTTCAGCTTTACTACAGAATACACTCTGACTTCAGGACTTCAACTCGTCTATAAATGACACCCTGACTTCAGTTCGTCTATAGAAGTGATCCTGACTTCAACTCGTTTTTAGAAGACAACCCTGACTTCAGTTCATCTGTAGTAGACTCCTTGACCTAAGTTCGCCTGTAGAAGACTTCCTGACTTGAGTCTGGCAATTGAAGACCCCCTGACTTTAGCTCGTCTACGGAAGTGATCCTGACTTCAACTCGTCTTAAGAAGACACCTTGACTTCAGTTCGTCTATAGAAGACACCCTGACTGTAGCTCGTCTCTAAAAGGCACCCTGACCTTAGTTTGGCTATTGAAGACACCCTGACTTCAGCTCGTCTATAGGTGTGATCCTGGCTTCAACTAGTCTTAAGAAGACACCTTGACTTCAGTTCGTCTATAGAAGACTCCCTGACATCAGCCAGTCCTTAGAAGACACACTGACTGCAGCTCGTCTTTGGGAGTGATCCTGACTTCAAATCGTCTTTAGAAGATACCCGGACTTCAGTTTGTCTATAGAAGACTCCCTGACTTCAGCCTGTCCTTAAAAGACACCCTGACTTCAAATTGTCTTTAAAATACACCCTGACTTCAGTCCTTAGAATATACCCTGACTGCAGCTCGTCTTTAGAAGTGATCCTGACTTCAAATCGTCTTCAGAAGACACCCGGACTTCAGTTCGTCTATAGAAGACTCCCTAACTTCAGCCAGCCCTTAGAAGACACCCTGACTTCATCACGTCTTTAAAAGACACCCTGACCTCAGTTCGTCTATAGATGACACCCTGACTTCGGTTGGTCTATAGAAGACTTCAACTCTATTTTAGAAGACACCATGACTTTAGTTCATATGTTCGTCTATAGAAGACACCATAACTTCAGCCAATCCTTAGAAGACACCCTGACTGCAGCTCGTCTTTAGGAATGATCCTGACTTCAGCTTTAGGAATGATCCTTCCCTAACTTCAGCCAGTCCTTAGAAGACACCCTGACTGCAGCTCGTCTATAACAGACATCCTGACATTAGTTCGTCTATGGAAGGCTTCCTGACTTCAGTTTGACTATAGAAGTCATCCTGACTTCAACTCGTCTTAAGAAGACACCCTGATTTCAGCTAGTCCTTAGAAGACCCCCTGACTGCAGCTCATCTATAACAGACACCCTGACTTCAACTCGTCTACAGAAGAGATCCAGACTTCAAATCGTTCTTAACTGAGGTTGGCTATTGAAGACACCCTGACTTCAGTCTTCTATAAAAGTCTCCCTGACTTAAGTTCATCTCCCAGACTTCAGTTCCTCTATAGAAGATTCCAGGGCTTCAGCTAGTCCTTAAAAGACAACCTGAATTCAACTCTTCTATAGAAAACTCCCTGACTTCAGTTGGTGTATAGAAGACTCCCCTTCTTCAGCTCTTCCATAGAACACTCCCTGACTTCAGATCGGCTATAGACAAGACTCTGACTTCAGGCCTTGGCACCCTGACTTCAAGGTCTCACAAAACTATTTAAAAAAAATCTCTCTCTTCCCCTTTTTCCTTAGAGACGAAATTGAATCCCTGCATCGCATTTATCGAAAATTGGTATCCAATAATCAGTATGCCGCCAAATCCTTGTCATCCGGACCATCAGGAGCAGCGATTGCAAAGCCGCAGACCCAAGAGGTAAAGTATGAAATCATTGTCCTCCTTGAGTAACGTTTTTATTCTATTAATGTTCATTTTTATTCCTTCCCTCCGAATAGGGCATTGACCGCATCGTATTCCGTGAACTGCTGCACAGTACCTTCGACATTGTCACCGAAGAAATTCTAATGGAACGGATTTTTTGCAGCTGGGATAAGTCACACGAAGGCTTACCGATACGCCTGGAAGGTTGGTTAATTGGCCTGTCGACATTTTTGCGCGGTAATCCGGCGGAGAGGGCGGCATTCTGCTTTCGTGTCTACGACTTAAATGGTGATGGTTATATAACCAAGGATGAAATGTTCACGCTGTTAAGGAATTGCCTGATAAAACAACCACAGGATGAGGATCCTGATGAGGGGGTAAAGGATTTAGTGGAGATTGTATTGAAAAAATTCGATGTGGATAAGGATGGTAAGGTGAGTAGGAGGTCAGAATAAAAATTACTATTACTTAAAGTGTTTTATTGAAAATTCTCTTCTCCCCTCTCTCTCCCTTCTCCTCTCTCAGGTTTCCCTGGAAGACTTTATGGCCACGGTGACGGCCCAGCCATTGCTCATCGAGGCATTTGGCCAGTGTTTGCCAACGGATAGTGCAATTGTATCGTTTTTTTCCACACTACAGGTTTAAATAAAAACCCATCTCTCCCCCTCCATCAAATACCGTATTCTTCTTCTTGTTCCTCCACCCCGTATGTCCACATGGAGAATATTCTAAACGATTTTTTAAAAATTTATGAAATGTGTGCAATTTTTGTTGTGTTTGAAATAAATTGTTTTGATGTCGGTTCTTCTGTATTGAAAGCGATTAAAGAGATGGTCGTCTCTTATTACGAAGTGGGTGGCAGGGGGTGGGACAGGTCATACCAGACAGTCATGTTGTGCTGACACATGTTATTATTTCTATTAAAACGGTATTTGTTTGTATGTCCAATTTTATGTACTTTGTGAACACATGTATGTATTTACATATAAATGTATGTATGTGTGGGTATGAATGTAGCCTTATGACGTCTAATACCGGCAATTATTGTTTTAAATTTTTTATTTTGCAAGTCATTGTCTTAGATTAGTTTGTTTGAATTTGTAACTATGCATAACAACCCAATGTGCGTGCCGAACATCGATTTTACAATTGCACAGAATTTCGAAGGGGACTTAATAATATATTCTTTAACAAATCCTTGGGTAAGGGTCTCACAAAAATATTCTTTAAAAAATCCACGCCTTGGGTAAGGGTCTCACAAAAATATTCTTTAAAAAATCCACGCCTTGGGTAAGGGTCTCACAAAAATATTCTTTAAAAAATCCATGGCCAGTGATTTTCCCACGTCTGAGAAAGTCACCCTGACATCAGCACATCTATGAAAAACTCCCTGTCGCCTGTAGAAGACTGCCTGACATCAGGTCGAGTATAAAAGACTCTGCGACTTCAGCGAATCGGACCGTAAAATGACATTACATAGAATCCTTGACTTGGACTGATTTATAGAAGACTCCCTGACTTCAGTTCAGCTCCGTAACTTCAGCTCCTCTATAAAATACGCCCTGACTTCAATTCGTTTATAAAAGATACTAGACTTCACTTGTCTATGAAAGGCTTCAGCTCGTCTATAGGAGACTCCCTAACTTCAGCCATGTCTATGAAAAAGTCCCTCACTTCAGCCCGTTTATAGAATACTCCCTGACTTCAGTTTGTCCGTATAAAATTCCCTGAGTTTGGCTCGTCTATAAAAGACACCATGTCTTTCGTTCGTATATAAAAGACTACCTGACACCGGATTGTCTATGACAGACTCCTGATTTCAGCTCGTCTATAGAATACTCTGTGATTTCAGCTTGTCTATAAAAGACGCCCCGACTTTAGCTACTCTACAGAAGACGTCCTGACTTCAGTTCGTCTTTAGACGACTCCTATCTCTCTGAGGTAAGTCTACCTGACTTCAGTTTATCAATGAAAGACTTCAGGTCCTCTACAAAAGACGCCCAGAATTCAGTTCGTATATAAAAGACTCCTAGACTTCTCCTTGGCTTTCACCTGTGTCTTCATAAGTGTCTATAGAAATGTTCCTGCCTTCATTGCTCAAAGTTAAACCAGCCTTACATCAGCTAGTCTATAGAAGATGCCCAGACATTAGCTTTTCTATGAAAGACTGCAACTCGTCTATGGGGAGACTCCGTAAATTCAGCTTGTCTAAAGGAAGACTCAGCTCGGCCGTATAAAATCCCTTGACTTTGGGTCGTCTATAAAAGACTACCTGATACCGGCTAGCCTATGACAAACTTCCTGGCTTCATAGACCCCTCGCATATGGGAGACCCCCTAACATCAGCTTGCCTATGAAAAACTCCCTGACTTCAGCTCCTCTATAAAAGACTCCCTGACTTCAGCTCGGCCAAAAAAAATCCCTGAATAAAGGCGTCTATAAAAGACTACCTGACACCGGCTCGTCTATGACAGACCCCCTGGCTCGTCTATAGTAGATTCCCTGATTTCAGCTTCTCTTTAGAAGACGACCCGATTTCAGCTCGGCTATAGACGACTCCTTGACTTCACCTATGTCAAAGTCTTCAGTTCGTCTTTGAAAGACTACCAGTCTTCAGCTTGTCTCTAGAATATACCCTGACATCAGTTGGTTTATGAAAAATTCTTTCTTTATAGTGTCTATGTCAGATCCACTACATCGGTTCATCTGTTATATTATTTTATAAAATAGCATTTCACAAATTCCCCCTAAATTTATTTCACATTCGATTATCGCAAGCGATTAGCTATGTTCCTTGGGAGTCCAAAGTTATTGGACTTCTATCAGAACCTATGTATGCTCATGGTCAGACCACTTCAGAGTTTCATTTATTTGGTGATAAGGTTTTTTCCTAAACTGCATAACAACTGTTAACAGAATTTTTTTTTTTCAATTTATTTGATTCTAAAAATATTTCGTTGCAAATTTAGATTAAGAATCATAATTTTTGAAAAAAAAATGCTGCGTGTTCATTTCAAAATGTCATTCGAATTTACAGAAACAAGTATGAATCACTCTTATGATATGATATTTGTAGATTTCGAATGACATATAAATTCCCTGTTCGATTTTTTTATACCCAGGAAAATCGACAGGTACTAATGCTGACTAGCTATATTTTTAATAGCTTTAATAGGGCCTGAGTCATAAATACAAAAATGTTACCTAACTGACATGATCACAGGACCGAGCTGAAGCCTGGGGTCTTCTATAGACAAATTGAAGTGAAAGTTCTTCTGTAGACGAACTGAAGCCAGGGAGTCTTCCAAATCCGGCTTGAAGGGAGTTTTTCCTTCATAGGTGAGTCGAGTAATTTTATATGTATTTGGACTAGCTGAAGGAAGCCTTAATAGAGCTGAAGATATTCTTAATAACCGAATCTATCGCAGCCAGATGAGGTAACGAAGGACAAAAAAAAATAAATAAAAAATAAACGACATAGACCCCCGTTTTAACCAGTTAGAAAAGTAGTAAAGTCGGACTGGGCCGACTGTATGATACCCTTCACCACATTGGGCGTAAATCAGTACTCTATGCCGAATTTCGTGCAAATCGAAAGATAAATAGGGACTTTACCTTAAATCGGACGAAAATATATATCGGAGCTATATCTAAATCTGAACCGATTTTCACGAAACTTAGCACACATCATTCTGGACCCACTTCAGTACCCTATGCCGAATTTCGTGCAAATCGACAGATATATAGGGGCTTTGATGTCCCATTTACCTTAAACCGGACGAAAATATATATGGGAGCTATATCTGAACCGATTTTCTCGAAACTTGACACACATCATTCTAGACTCAATTAAGTACGCTTGGTGCACCATTTACATAAAATCGGACGAAAATATATATGAGATATATATATATATATAAATTTGAACCGATTTTCTCGAAACTTAACACACATCATTCTAGACCTAATTCAGTACACTATGCAAATTTTCGAGCAATTCGAAGATATATATAGGGACTTTGGTGCACCATTTACATAAAATCGGTCGAAAAGATATATGGGAGCTATATCTATATCTAAACCGATTTTCACGAAATTTAGCACACATCATTCTGGACCCAATTCAGTACCCTATGCCAAATTTCGTGCAAATCGATAGATATATAGGGACTTTGGTGCACCATTTACATTAAATCGGATGGAAATGGGAGCTATATCTAAATCTGGATCGATGTTTCCCCATTTCAATGAGGTTCGTCCTTGCGCCAAATAAGTGACTTGAGCCATATTTCATCCAAATCGGATCATAAATGCGACCTGTACTTTATTTACATTTTAACATCTACAGACGAAGAGACGGACGGCCGTGCATAAATCTACTCAGAAAGTGATTCTACGCATATTGTCAAATGGAACCATGGGCCTATCTCTTTTCCTTTTGCTTGTTACAAACATATACCCAAAGACATAATACCCTGTACGACAGTATGGTAAAGGGTATAAAAATACCCCTCCATTGCCGTTTTTGACGATTTTAACTGCCACCAGAGACACTGTAATTTGGTATTGCGGGTATTTGAAGGCTGCCATACATCTATGCAGAACATTTCTATGAAAGGGTTCAAAAAAGCAATTTTGCTTCTCATTGAGCATCAAATCTTCCAATTATCGAAATTGTTCCACTTTTAAGGGTAGCGCGCATGTAACGCTATATCCCAAAGATCGGTATTTTGTAGAGTTTGGTAGCAATTTAATTTTTGTGATTCTCATTACGATAAAAATTTGTTTTAGTTTATTTATACCCTACAGAACTATGTTGTCAGGGTAATATAGTTTTGTGCAGCCCCAAGAGTTTGTAACGCCGCGAAGTATTGGTCCGTCCGTCCGTCTGTCCATTATATTTTGTAAAAACTATACAGGCCATAGTTATGGACCAATCTTCACGAAATTTTGCATTTAGGATAGGTTCTACCCAATGAAGACCCCTATTGTTTTTGGTAAATATCGGTTAATATCAAGGGAATGAAATGGACCAAATACGTAATTTTTATCGTTTTTTCTGGTCGCTCTAGAGGCCGCAATTATGACCCAAACATCGTGAATTTTTACATAGAGAAGGGAATCGGGCCAAAGAATAAGCATGCCTGTTTTGATAAGGATCGGTCAATATTTAGCGGGTCATAATGGACCCTGACTTTTGTGTTAAATATTACATAATTTGTATTCTATAGCGTATAGATTCACACCTGAAGGACATAGACCCGAAAAGATGTTGGTATATCCAAGGGCAGTGGTTGGGATCGGATCGGTCAATATTTAGCGGGTCATAATAGACCCTGACTTTTGTGTTAAAAATTACATAATTTCTATTCTATAGCGTATAGATTCACACCTGAAGGACATAGACCCGAAAAGTTGTTGGTATATCCAAGGGCAGTGGTTGGCCTTTAAATTGATACCAATTATATGGTCCTATGTACTCAGATGTGGGAGTTACACTTAAACATTTACAGGTGCTTATGTATTCAGATATTATTTAGTAACCCTTTACCACACTAGAGGGCGTAAATATAGCGCTGATCGCTTTAAAGTGCTCCATGAAGTTCCAGTTATGGTCAAGGAGAACGCCTATAATTTTCGGTGAC